AGTGTGTGTGTGTGTGTGTGTGTGTGTGTGTGTGTGTGTGTGTGTAAAAACATTTGTGTGAGGCTTTTGCTTTGGAACAATCAAAAGGAGCATATTTCACTAATATTTTGTTTAGCATATAATTTTAATTCCTATTTCTTTCAAAATGAGTACTTTCTATATGTGAAAACCAAAATAAAAGAGCAGTCCTGGGCTTAAAATATATGTCTTTCAATTAAATGTAGTTTATGCTACAAATCAAAAATGTGCAAACAAACACTTTTCCTACAAAAGGTGTTTCTTTGCTGAAATGTTATATATGTAAAGCACCAAAATACACTTAGTGAAATTTGACCTACATTTGATATGCCTTTCAGTAAATTATTGATGTTGCCGTAATTTCAAAAGACATTTAAACCTCAAACATTGGTTTCTACTAAAAGATTTTTAAAGAGAAAGTTACATCAACTTTTATACAAATTAAAGTACTCTGTTTTAAAATACTGTTCCTTAAATCATCATTGTTGTTCACTTCTTGCATGACAATCTCGTATATTTAGATGTTTTTAAAACATACGCTGTATTTAACTGAAAATTGGCCGCAAAAGGCCTGAATTTATCAAAGGCAAAAGCAAATATTTTACAATTTTAAAATATATTATATAAATAATTATACATTGTTACATTATATAATACATTTGATATTTCTATAAAGAAAACTGACACATCTATAGATAATAGATCAGTTAGACTGGTGAGTCATAAATTTCAGATTTAAATTTAGCAAGTTGGAGTTAGGTCTATTTTTTTAAAACTAAAAATTACAATACATAAATAGCCAAGTCAGATATGACATATTATGTCTTAAGCCTTTTCCCATTCTAAGCCAACGTACATTTATTGTGGTAAAATACAATAGTTAAAAAAAATGAGTTTCAAGTGAAATTAGAATTCAGTACTTTTGTCCTCCTACAGCTTGACCATTTTAAAAGGAAACTTAAAGTATAAGATCATAATGTGGACTAATCAATTGCTTTCATGAAAAATAAGTTACATATCAGTTTTAAGAGCATTTCTGTACTTAGTGTTCCTTTGGTCATTGAAAGTTTCAATTGCTTTAGTATGTAGACTTGGTGCTAAAAAATTTTTACATTGCGGGGAAAATTAGGTATGTTTGATTTGATATTGTGCTATCTTGGAATGCCAAAACAATTGTGCAGTAAAAATACCCACTGGGAATCAATAACACAAGAGGATCAAAAACAAGAATGTGTAGGCCACATTAGCCTAGAATATGGACTAGTATATATAAGCAGGTATTGGGGTGCCTGAGTGGGGGAGGAAGGTGTTATGGGAGGGTGGGAGATGAGTTGATTTGAATTTTCTAGTCAGTGATTATTGACCATACAAAGGTAGACTTCATCAACTAAAATGGACTAAGGGTTATAAATGTAGAGTTGATCCAAGGTTATTTTTGCTTTATATTAAGCAGTTCATTTAGGACTCCATAAGACTAGGCTGTTATGGTCAATTAATTAGTTATGTTATTAAAGAGACACCCGTGGTATGTTTACAAAGATCTTGCGCTGAACTGCTAATAGTACTTCTAAAACGTGGCTAAAAATTTATTTGTACAATATACCAAAGGGCACAAGTAAAATATATGATTCATTAGGTAAATATAAATTTTAAAGGTATTATGGAAGCTCAGAAATATTTTGAATTACTAATAGTGAGTAAGGAAAAGAAAATTCACAAACAGAGAGTAGGTTTATGTGCACATATATATTAAAATAGCATTAATGGGTCTGATAACTGTCAATAGCTAGCAAATTCAGAGTTAAGACAGAAATGTATTTGTAACTCATCTTATGCATATTGCAACTACTACTAGTCTTTAGCCAAGTGGGTGGTTTTAGATAGTTTATACCATGTAGCACAAAATGCAATACTAAGGCACATTGGAGTGAATTAAGAAGTTTTCCAACGTTAACTGTGGTATTTCCTGTCTCTTGCAGGTTAAAACCTTAATGTTATTTTAACTTGGAATTTTCTATGCAGCACAGTTCTAATAAGTAAAACCTTTTGCAAGTCATGGTGAAGGCTATGTTCTCGGAGAAGGAAAAGGTGGTATTCCTAAAAGGGAAGACTTCATCTAATTTTTTTTTAAAGACTAGAAATTGGATCCTCTTGGAAGTCTGTGTCTTTTTTATTTATTCGACATTCCGATTAATATATTTGATTCCCCACCCCCATTCTCATCACCTTTTACCATTTAAAATATAGAGAAGTTTGAAAATGCTGGTATTTGACTTTTGTTGTTGTTGCTTATAATAGTTCCCACCAAGCAATGATACTTGGGTGGTCTGGAGAAAAGTGTGTGTATGTGTGCTGAGAAGGGGGAGAAGGCAGTATTTTTTAGTCTTCCAAAAATACGGACACATTAGCCCTAGGCAATGGGGGGAGGGGGAACATACAACATACTGACAAAAGATTGAACAATATCTGTGACTCTTTTCCATTGTAAGAAACGTTTTGGTTTTTGCCTTTGGATGCCTTTGTTTGGATTTATATTTCACTTCTGTAAGGTCAAGAAATGGCTGCCTTCAATTCCTGTGTGGGTCTCCCTTTTTAAAATTAAGGGAGCAGTGTTCTAATCAGAAAGCTTGAAAATATTTCTTTCCCTACCCTCCCTCCATTGAATTTGGTTTGATGTAACAGATAAAGTGTTTGCTCTTAGAAAACAAAATAACTGATCTATCATACAGCAATATTGATCTGTTGGTAGTGAAATGGTTGTACATACTTTAATTTGCCATTTCTGTTGTTCTTTTTCTGTTAAAATCCGACTTTTTTTTTCTCACATCAGACTATCCACTGCATGCAACAGATTTGAGTACAGTATTGGATTGAATTAAACTATGTCCACACTGTAAATTTCCCACTGAACATGATTCATATTTCTCAGTCATCATAAACCTTAGTGTTTCATCCTTGTTCTTGAACAATTTGTATATTATGTGCGTGTATGAGTATTTTAAAACTGTACTTCATAAACTCATTCCCCCAAATAGTCTTTCACAATAAGTTTCAAATCAAGTGTTGGCAATAGAAAGAAAGAAAGAAACATATTTTTTCCTGACTGGTTGGTTAAGATCAAGAAGAGTACGGTTACTCAATTCACAGAATGAAACTCTTTTGCTGTGCTGGAGTAGATATTTCCTTGCTCCTTAACAATACACTCTTTCTTTTCCTATCTATTGCTTTGTGTACTGCAATCTCCCTCCCTTTTCCCAAAACTCATGCCAGGGGTCGTCCCCACAACCACCTTCAGCCATACAGGCTAAAAATGTAACTTTGAGGAGGAGAGGTGGGAGTAAACACTTTCTAAATACAGAAAGATCATTTAACGTAAAGATTAATTCAAATAATAGACTAGAGAAGAGAAACACAACATTTCCATATGCCATTCATCATCTTTTCCTAATTACATGAGTTGTCTCAGGCTTTTTTAATTTAACATTATTAGCGTAATTAAATGGTTCTCATTGAATAGATAAAATTTTTTCTTATTTGTGATTCTGGTCTGCAAACTCTGACAGATGTAAAATTGACTATTAAAAAAAAAGGCAATAGCTTGCGTAGAGCAATCTCTTTCCTTTGGAATTATAACTAAGTAAGTTTGTCTTAATGTAAACCAGATATTCTAAAACCTAAAATTATTCCTCCCATTTACAATATAAACTATAAAGCGTTGCAGAATTGCCATTCCTAAAACAACTCTCATGTGAGAAGTGAAAATAAGAGTTTAACATTTGTATGAATTCAGTTTCACTCCTTTGTCTTTTCATGTCTCTTCTGATTTTTCTGTTAATAAGTTTGCATTTAAATGTGTTACTACTTTACTGATCAGGACTCTAAAATACAAGAATAAAATCCTTCTTGTCACACTGTAATCTGTTAATAAAAAAAATAATTTTTGCTCCAAAGATAATCATTTTTTGTGAAATAAAACCAAAGAAGCTGGGTAAAGGAAAAATTTTTTAAGTTAAAATACAGTAGTTTAGATGGGATGGTAGGGGAAATGACAGCGAGAATTCTCACTGCATAAGCTATATGATAACCCATGTTGGGACTGTGAAGTTAATACTGCATGATAGCAGCTCCTCGGAAGGGTTTTATTGAGCTTTGAAAGAGCCCTGAGAAAGGTAATAATATATATATTTATAAAAATCACACAGCATCAAGGTTGCTTAAAAATCCCTACTTATACATATTGCAAAAAGTAATTGTAATGGAGTTATTTATAGTACTTTTATTTGTAGTATACTCATTCAAAATCTTCCTATAAATAACAAGCATCATATAGAAGGGAATACTTTTTGGGGTATATTTTATTTTTATTTTTTTATTTTTTGGAGTTGCAGTAGTTTGTTACCAGTATTAACTATCTGGGAGCTGACTCTGAATTTCAACTGGTATCAAATTGCAGCCCAGACTTTTTGTATTATTCTCTCCATGGGGATTTCATTCAGCCTGAGGGCTTTTTTCCCCTACCAGGACAGCTGGAAACTCACCAAAGAAAACTTCTGCATTCGTTTACAAATTCCATTTTTATCAGTGGGAATTGAGACAAAGTAACTTATCATTCTGAATGCAAGAAGAAATATCAGCAATGCGAAGTATAGACAAGGAAGCTGCAACCATAGTTTGGTGCTGGGCTTTTGTAAACAATGCACAAACATGTATTGTGAGATTAAAGGTTACTGGGTTTGTTTTTTCATTTATTGCTTTGCTATCTCAGTCTGTTCTCCTAGGGATGATATTCCTTGCCAGTCCAAGATTTCAATTTTCTAGCTGGCAAAAGCCTGGCAAGTGTCTTGCTATATTTAGCTGTCACTTTTTCTTATTTTTAATTAGCATATATTGCATATATTTTTAAATATACAATGAAGCTTCAGCTTCATTTCAAATATAATTACAGTTTTGTCATGAGTGACCTTTTATAAATAAATATTTTAGAATGTGTACTATTAATATTCACACATTCTTTGCTAATATTTTTATCCCTTTAATGCAGAAATACTTTTGTTAAATTGTCATTTAAAATTACATAGCTCATAAGAGGTTATTCAGAATTCATATTTTAATCAGTTTTTCTGAATGGTTTTTAATTGAGTTATACCTTACATATTCATAGCAATTGCTATAGTCTACAAAACTTAAATTTACCTTCTTAGTTTGGGGACAAGTAAGCTTTATTTTTAAGTAAATACATGGAAATGACTGAACTTAGTTATGTTATGTATACCTCTCGATGTAATAGATATAGATATACCTCTCTTTTTCTTGCATACGTTTTAGTAAATCACCAGAGCTCCATCTGTCTTGCGGTGATGATTGGAAGAATGGGGGAGGGGGAAGTCACCTAGGTTCGCCAGGTCATAGGCCAGGTGTTCTTCCAAAGTAGGCCTTACCAGAATGTCTTCCCCGCATTATTCTGAAGTCCTCCTTTCTCACAGTGTCCCTTAGCGTTTCTTATTCCCTAGTGTGTAAAACCTGTGAAGAAAAATACTGTATATGAGATCTGAAAGGAGCAATAATGGTCTTCTCCTTGGCAATAGCAACTGGCGTCCCCCAAAGTCCATGTCGTTGCTTTCCCTTGCCCAGTCTAACCAATGTGCAGACTACTGTACAACAGCATTGTCCTGAACAGGTAGTCTGAACACTGGGGCGACGGAGCAGGATCTCCAGACGCTTCTATTTATTTATTTTAAATCCTCTTTTAGTCTTTGGGAAAAACTGCCTTCCTGCATCGGGGTTCTGCTCAGCTTCCCCTCAAACTCTGCAGCACTCACTGAAACACACTGAAGTGCTGTGATTTCCAGTCTTGACGTGGCACATTTGCAGCAGACTGGGGATCTGGCAATGAATTTAGGACCAGGAAAAGGGGGAGGGTTGGGCCTGAGAGTCCATATATGGGATGATGTCACCCTAGGGAGGTTTGGGTATGCACTGTGCCGCTGGTGAGACCGCTAGAATTGCCTGCTCTCAGACATGGGTCTGTGTATAAAATGGTACCAGATGTTTTAGTGTAATGTTAAGCAGTCATTTCATCTTCAGGCCAGATTTTTTTCCTCAACTGGGCAGGAAGTGGGCCCCACTATGGAAAAGCTGTAAAAAGTCAAGATGTACAGTTTCGCTGCAGCCAACGGAGAGCGAGTTAATGTAGAAACAAAACTTGCTGTTCTGTAAAGGCTGCAAAAACTAATTTGTGAAAAGAATTTCTTTCGAGAACCTAATGCAATATGCCAGTGCTTATTTTGATTCTCTTTAATGACTGCAGTTATGCTTTATATTTTGGTGTTTCAGACTAAGAAAAGGGCAAATAGGTTCTTTTCTTTCTTTCTTTCTTTTTTTTTCTTGGAACTGTCACTGGCATGCAGGCTGCTCTAGACTTGAACAGTAATTATAGCTACTTCCTGAAAGTGAAGCCCCCATGAAAAGTCTGGAGAAATGTTCTTTGTCATAGCCTCTACATGAGTAATTAGTTCCACATGTGGCCTTCCTATTTCCCTTCAGCTATTTTGGCTGGCTGGCTGAATACTTTGGTATAGCTCAAGACTTAAAGAAGCTTTAAAGTTTTCATTTCAAGCATTCACTGTGAAAATAGCTATTTCTGGTGTCATAATAAATTGCTTCTGGTAGATCAGTGCTATTAGGCCTGGCATTGTTTTTCACTGGTAACCCTGCTGGTCCCATTTTTTCTTTTAATGGTACTTGATGGAATTTTCCTGCTAAATTTTATCTTTGATGTTTACCAGATCTATTTAGTTTTGCCAAGTATGACTTTACCGTAGATTTTAAGATATTCCCCCCCACAGGGATCTACCCTTGTTCTCCTGCCGACTTTCTTTGTTACTGTTGACTGTTGATTCCAAACGTTTTAGTTCCTTTGTTTTAGATCAAGGAAAATGTCGGATAAAAATTAAGATATATCCGTAAATTCAGCTTGCGTACTCTTCTTAAGTCAAACATAGGGAAGATTGCAAAATAGGTTTTAAATGCAACCTGCCTAATCAATGCCACTAACTCTCTTTCTACATAGCTACCTTGTTGATATAACACAAATGGATTAATATTAAATCAATATTAAAAGGCATATTTTCACTAACTTCCTAAATAGCTTTTGAAAGAAATTGGTTGGTAAATCTAAATACATATCACATGAATTCTAACGTTTGTTGGATTGCATAACTCTGCTATGCAGTGAAATATATGCTTTGCTATAGTGTCTTTTACACCAAAATGTCAGAAAATGCTTCTCGGGTGATTGCAGTCTCTTTAATACAAGTAGCATGTATAGATACAATAAAGGTACAGTAGTATCCATAGAGTCGGATGGAGGAGGTAACAGACTTCCCATTTCAAGGAGAATGATTAGTAAATGTGGATGACAAAGTAGTAGGATTTGACTTTTATCAGAGCACGGGTTCAGAGATCTAGGCCAAATAAAAGAAATAAGTGTTGGATGACCTGTGAGCCACTCTACCTTGGTGACAGGCCAGGGATAATCTCCAATTGGGATTGGACTTCCGGATTCCACCCATTCAAATGCTACTTACCTAGGATGTATTCATCCTGTGATGTGATAAGTACCTAAGGTAGATAGATGGAGACACTACACAGAGAGGCTTTTTACTCAGTGAGCTTAGTCTCTCCAGGAACAGCAGCTGCTCATCAGAGCTCTGGAGATGAGGCAGAACCTGTGTAAAGTAAGAACCTTCAGAGACCTAGCTATGATTTAAAATTTTAACAAAATTTGACACAATTGTAACAAACAGGGAGGCAACAGTTCATAGCTGCTGTGTCATGAAGCCCAGCAGGTATGGGAGCAGGTTCTTTCTCTCAAGATATAATCCTGGTTGCCAGTTACTAGCAGAAAAAGAGGACATAATTGCAGAGAGACTGAGCCAGTGATTGATCTCCATGGTTGGATCTCTAGATGCGGGTACGGTGGATCAGATCTTTCTCCAGTGAGGTGACAATGGAGGTGGATTGTTTCACAAGTCACCAGGACAAACTTCCGTAAATGGTACCAGTAAAAGACAGCATTAGTAAGAGATGCTTTCTCCATTCACAGGCGGGGAGAGGCAGACTCCTGCATTTCTGCTAACAAAGGTCCTGAACAACAACAAAAGGCAGTGATTTAATGATTCCAATAGCCCCATACTGGCTCAGGCAAGTATGGTTCTGAATTGTGTTGCTGACTGGTGACCACTTCCATCAGACAGAGCTTTGCCATAAATGAGTAAATGGAACCAGAGCACCTTGCTGCATCCTAGCCTGGGAGCCCTCTCCTTCAAAGTTCTTAACAGAGTAAAGCTCCAGACATGTGGTGTCTGAACAGGTGTTTCAGGTTGTTTACCAGATGGATGTTAAAGCTTTAAGTGGAAAAACCTTATGGTGTGATTCAAGCCCATGTGACCCTTCTTTTAAATGCCTCTCCCTCCCTCCCCCAAACTGTTTATCTGTTTTCTTCATTTGTCTGATCGTAAAACTAATTCTATCCATGTTCATTTGGTGACTGTTTTGGCCTATCATGTACCAATCAAAGGCAAACCACTGTCTGCACCCTCATAATCAGATTTACATGGTGCTTAAGGCATTTTAAATTACACATTTAAAACCCCCTTGGTATTGTGGGTTTTTAATATGTTCTTGATAAAGCTGTTAACTCCTTTTGAGTCACTTGATGTGCTTTAGTTTCCTAAATGGAAGGTCACTTTCTTGGTGGGTCATAGAATGAGTGAGCTTATACTACATTTTTCAAGCATTATAGTAGTACCATTAATTCATCCTGCAGCCCTTCCAGAGATAGAGACAAACTTTCATTTTCATGACTCTTATCCTCTTACCAACATTTTTGTCATGCTTGCACAGTTGTCCCAATGAGATCCTTTTCCACAACACTAAAATATTCTTTGATTTTAACTTGGAGGGAGCTAAGGATCTTGGGAAGTCCAACCAACTTCTTGTTTCTTTTGATGCTAATACCAAGAACAGTATTGTCAGAGAGTACAATATCTAACCCACTGTCTGATATGTTCTCCCTGTTACGAGCTGGCAGGCCTCCACATAGTACCCTGTTGCTGCTCACACTATCCAGGGCAGAGCAGCTTTGGCTGCAAACCTCAGGAATGTTTCAGTCTTGGATATATATGCACAACAACGTCAGTCTTTCCTCCATTTACAAAGCACTTTAGATTTATTCAGCCTCTAAGGAGGAATGTGACTGAATGAAGTGGCTGAACTACTAGTTATAATGTGCATTCTCTCATTAAAAATAGCTACTATACTGGAGGACTGGAGAGTAACAAATATTGAATCTATATTTTTAAAAAGCTGCTATGGGTGATCCAGGGAATTAGACCATTAAGTCTTATGTATGTACTTGGCAAACTGGTTGAAAAGATTGTTAAAAATAGATTAGTAAAACACATGGAAGATCATGATGTGATAAGGTCTAACCAGGTTTCTTCAAAGGAAAATCATGTCTCACTAATCTATTAGAATTCTCTTGAAGTGTCAGAGTAGTGGATAAAGGATAACTGGGTAACAAAATGTATTTAGACTTTCCAAAGGCCTTTGAAAAGGTCTCATGACTACTAAAGACATTTAAGCCAGGGGTGGGCAAACTTTTTGGCCTGAGGGCCGCATCGGGTTTCAGAAATTGTATGGAGGGCCGGCTAGGGGAGGCTGTGCCTCCCCAAACAGGCAGGCATGGCCCAGCCCCCACCCTTTATCTGCTTATCGCCCCTAACGGCCCCCCGGGACTCCTGCCCCATCCAACTCCCCCTGGACCCCTGCCCCATCCACCCCCCCATCTCCCTGTCCCCTGACTGCCCCCAGACCCCCCGCCCCTAACTGCCCCCCGCAACCCTATCCAACCCCCCTCCTTCCTGACTGCCCCCCAGACCCCTGCCCCATCCACCCCCACTGCTCCCTGTCCCCTGACTGCCCCCAGGCCCCCTGCCATTAACTGACCCCTGCCGCCCCATCCAACCCCCCCTCCTTCCTGACTGTCCCCCCGGGACCCCTGCCCCATCCAACCACCCCTTCTCCCTGAACGCCTCCAGACCCCCCCGCCCCCATTCAACTGCCCTGTTCCCCGCCCTCTGACCCCCCCAACCCCTATCCACATCCCCGGCCTCCCTTGCCCTCTATCCAACCCCACCTCCCTGCCCCCTTACCGCACTGCCTGGAGCACTGGTGGCTGACGGCACGGCTGCACCATGACAGGCAGCCGCGCCACCCGGCTGGAGCCAGCCGCGCACCACGCAGCGCAGAGCAGAGCACCAGGTCAGGCTGGGCTCTGCAGCTGCGCTGCCCCTGGAGGTCGCCACCCCGAGCATTGCGCCAGTGGCGCAGTGAGCTGAGGCTGTGGGGGAGAGGGAACAGCAGGGAAGGGGTCAGGGGCTAGCATCCCAGGCCAGGAGCTCAGGGGCCGGGGAGAACGGTCCCATGGGCTGTAGTTTGCCCACCGACGTCGTGGATCCACATCCACCCAAGCAAGTAGCATTTGGGAGTCTCCTGTTCTGGGATGGATCTTGCATATGTTTTAGGCTTTGAGCCACTCGATTGTGACACTGGGATGTGGATCAAAGAAATCTTCTGTATTCAGCACCTAGGAGATCAGCCCAGCCCAGGTCCCGCCTATACCTCTTCACACGTCCATATGGGGCCTGCCCTAAGAGAATCAGACTCACAGAAATGTAGGGCTGGAAAGGACTTTGAGACGTTATTAAGTCCAGCCCCCTGCACTGAGGCAGGACCAAGTAAACCTAGACACTCCCTGATAGGTGTTTGTGCAACCTGTTCTTAGAAACCTCCAATGACGGGGATTCCACTGCCTCCCTTGAAAGCCTATTCCAGACCTTAACTACCCTTAAAGTTAGAAAGCTTTCCTAATATCTAACCTAAACCTCTCTTGCTATAAATTAAGCCCATTACTTGTTGTCCTTCCTTCACTGGACATGGAAAACAATTGATCCCCGTCTCCTTTATAACAGCCTGATAATAGTCCTCAAATATGGTAAAGATTTCTGCCCCCCCTCCCCCCTTCTTTTCTCAAGACTGAACAGGCCCATTTTTAAAACAAAACTTTCTTCATAGCTCAAGTTTTCAAAACTTTTCTCATTTTTGTTGTTCTCCTCTGGACTTTCTCCAGTTTGTCCACATCTTTCTTAAAGG